AATACTCTCTAGCTTCATCTGTGTTGTTGCAAATGGCAAGATTTCATTCATTTTTATGGCTGAGTAATATTCCATTTTATATATACACCAAATCTTTTTTTCCCCTCAGATCTAGTATTAGGGTTCGGTTTAGTGACAGAATAATGGTTAGAGTTAGGGTTAGGGACAGTGTGAGGGTATGTGCCTAACTCTAACCTCTAATCTTAACCCTGAAGTTATCCTTCTGGAGAGGTCTCTGAAGTACTGGATAATAGGCACATATCCTCACACTGTCCCTAACCCTAACCATTATTCTGGCCCTAACCCATGCCCTAATCTTAGAAATCATACCTTTTTGAAATGGGGTTTAAACTGTAGGAAAGGAGTTTTTAAAATGACAGATTTATTCCCTTTGAACCTCATTGGAGCTACAAGGAAAGCCTTCCGGATATAGGATTTTATCTCAAAATTAGGAATTCTTCTACCAAAACAGGGCCCCTACCTTTTTATTTTTATTTATTTTTTAATTGTTTTTAAACTTTTATTTATTTTTGAGAGAGACAGAGAGTAAGCGGGGAAGGGGCAGATAGAGAGGGAGATACAGAATCCAAAGGAGGCTCCAGGCTCTGAGCTGTCAGCACAGAGCCTGACGCAGGGTCAAACCCACATACAGATCATGACCTGAGCCGAAGTCTGATGCTTAACCGACTGAGCTACCCAGGTGCCCCAAGGGCCCTTACCTTTTTAGACTTACAAGATTACTATCAAGGTATAAGAAATCAAGAATAATACTTTTCCCCTTCCTAAAGAAACAGAAAATTATTGAAATGCAAAGCGCTAACTTAAAGGCGAATCCTGATATTTTCAGGAAGAACAAGTTTTACTATTCTTTTTATTTATTTATTAAAAGCTTTTTTTTAAAGAAAATGTTTATTTATTTTTGAGAGAGAGAGAGCGAGCGAGCACAAGTGGGGGAGAGGCAGAGAGAGGGAGACACAGAATCTGAAGCAGACTCCAGGCTGAGCTGTCAGCACAGAGCCCGACGCAGGGCTAGAATTTAGAAACTATGAGATCATGACCTGAGCCAAAGTCAGATGCTTAACCGACTGAGCCACCAAGGCACCCCAAGTTTTCTTAAGAATAGCAAATTTTGGGGGTGCGTGGTTGTCTCAATAGGAAAAGCATGCAACTCTTGACCCTGGGGTTATGAGTTTGAGCCCCATGCTGGGGGTAGAGATTACATAAATAAACTTAAAAAAAAAAAAAAAAAGAATAGCAATTTTTGTATTATAAAAATATACATGCTTGGTAGATATATTAGAAAACACACTTGTTTAGGTATAGATAAGCTTAAATTACAAATAAATAATTATTGCTTTAGAAAAATTATAGTTACAATTAAAACAGCCTATTAAACTACCCTTACCTGTTGGAGTAGGAGAGGACTTGTAACAGGACTAGAAGACCAAATGACTTTGCTGTTTTTTACATACTAACTCTAGAACTATAAATGCCTTGCTTCCAGAAAAATAAATGTCACATATCCTGCTTTCCTCCCTATTTTAACTCAGTTTTGAATTTAAAGCCTCAGACAAGTGTATGTAATTGGTAGAAATGAAATATCTGGATCCCTAGCTGGAGAATCTGGAAACCATAGCTTTTCAGCCTCTAACCCACAGGAAGGGACATTAGGAGTCTGGAGTGGATTATGAATAAGCCAAACCAGTGTCTGTTGCAATACACTACTTTCACCATTATCAACTCTCCAACTCACAAATATTAAATGACTCCCATTGTTGATAGGATTACAGTCCATATTCTCCGACACTGTGTTCAGTCTTGCTCCAACCCACCTTCCTATTTGTATTTTTCTTCTACACCAAATCCTGAACCCTTAACTCCAGTCAGGCTGGTATACTAAAAACCTATCTTCATACAGACCTATACATTTCTGTATCTTGGACTTTCGTTTGTGCCATCTTTCTTCTACTCTTTGCTTCCCCTTAATCTATAACTACACAAATCCCATCCATCCTTCCATATCTAGCTCTAACTTTACCTTCTCCATTCATTTTAAAAGTATTTTTTAAAGTTTATTTATTTTTATTTTGAGAGAGAGCTTGAGCAGGGGGAGGGGGAGAGAGCGAGAGAGACACAGAATCCCAAGCAGGCTCCGCACTGACAGCAGGGCTCGATCTCACAAACTGGGAGATCGTGACCTGAGCCAAAATCAAGAGCTGGATGCTTAACTGACCAGGCACCCCTAAAAAATAATTTGTTTTTGACCACAACAAAGACATTGGTAATAATTAAGGCAAGAAACTAATGTGAGTAATGTCTTCGTAGGGTCACATACACTAATAGGGATGATAAACACAAAAACAGAAGTAAATCATTTATATAATTTTGCAAGGTGATAAATATTATGGGGGGGAAAAACAGGTAAGTGAGACCAGAAGTATCGTGGGAGTAGGACAGATTGCAGATAAGATAGAGTGACTAGGATACGCCTTATTGGCAAAATGAAATTTGAGCAGAACTGAAGGAATTAGCCATGGAGAAATCTGGAAGTGTGTTCTGGGCAGAGAAAACAGAACAAAGCCTCTAATAGATATAAGTAGCTTTAGTAGGAAGTCAGTGCAACTGGTTCAGTGTAAGACGGAAGGGTAGAAGCAGGTAAGGTCAAAGAGTTAAAGGGAGTGGCCAGGTCAGGTAGAGCCGTATGAGCTATTAAATACATGGACTTCAGTATTTACTCTCAGTGAAAGGGAAAACAATCACAAAGTTTTGGGCAGAAGGGTGATATAAGCCACTGGTGCCCAGCCAGAGGTGACTTTGTCCCCCTAAAGGGCATTTGGCAGTATCTGGAGACATTTTTGGCTGTCACAACTGGGGGCAGATACTACCAGAATCTAGTAGGTAGAACGGTCAGAGATGCTGCTCAATACCCTACAACACAGCAGACAATTCCCTATAACAAAAATTATTGGGCCTAATAAAATGTCTGTAGTGTCAAAGTTGAGAAATCTTGATATAACCTTACAATTAATAGGATTACTCTCTGGCTACTGAGTTGAGAAAAGATTGTAGGGCAAGGGAAAGAAACAGGGAAACCAAGGAAAACAGGAAGCTATTGCAGTATCTAGGCAAGAAATGGTGGTGGCTTGGAGCAGGTGGTAAAAAGACATCCTCATTCTGCATACATTTGAAGGCAGAACAACAAGATTAGCTGATGACACCACTGGAGAAGTGAGAACAAGAAGTTATGGAAGGGTGGTGTTCCATCAACTGTGAAGGGGAAAGCTGTAGGGTAGAATAAATTATTTTGGGGGGTAAGATTTGGAGTTTTAGGTTTTGGACACATGAATTTGCTTACGTCTATGAGACATCTAAGTGGAAATGTTGAGTATGTAGTTAGATATACTAGTCTGTAGCTCTGAAAAGACTGCAAAAGGGCAAGCAAGCAAGGTAGGAAGAGGACTGTGGAGTCTGGAAGTTTGGTGAAGTGTATCAAGGAGGAAAGATCAACTTTGCTGCTGAAAGGTCAGGTAAAATGAAGACTCAAAGCTGACCACTGGATTTGGCAATGTGAAAGTCACTGTGACTTGGATGAGGACAGTTTTGGTCCTCATCCCCTAATCACAGGGGCAGACCCTGACTGGAGTGGGTAAGAGACAAAGTGGGGAGCAGAATTAGAGAGATAAAAGCCCAATTTTGGGAACTATTCCTGCAGAGGGGAACACAGAAATAGAGTGGTGGCTAGTAGCAGTAGAATCAAATACCTTAAAATTTGTTTTTAGGGAGAGCAATTACAACATGCCAATATACTAATCAGAATGACCCATCAGAGAATAAGAAATCGATGATGTGTAAGAGAGAGAAGAAAATGCAGGCAAAAGGGAATGGGATCCAAGACTCCAACGGGGGCACTGGGTCTAGACAGGAGCAGGAAAGTCTGTCTCTGTTCTAGGTGAAAAGGAAGAGTGTTAGTTGAGATGAGAGGGCAGAACATGTAACCCCAAATGTTGGTAGACATGCGGGGCTAGGGGTCTGCAGAAGGTTTATTTTGATTGATTTCCATGAACCCTATCCCGACACCACAATCTCAATGACCTCTCCCTCTTATCATTTCTATTACATTTATTCTGTATCACTTGGTAGGTATTTATAACACTGTAGTGTTTGTAACTTTCCAAATGCATGTGTTTTATAACTTAACTGTAAGTTCCTCAAGGGACATGTATTAACTATTTAATGCTTGTAACAATATTACAAATAGGTACTATTATCTCCATTTTTCAGATGGGGAAACTGAGGCATACAGATGCTAAGTAACTCACTAAGATCACACAGGCAGTAAGTGGAGGAGCCAGTATTTGAACTCTTGCAATTTGGCTTTAATTCCATGTCATATCCATTTTGTAGACACAGAATCCACAGGTACCTGTCCTCCAGGGTCTTTTTAAATTTCACAACACAAGTGAGATATCTCACTGGTTAAATAGAAATGGCTAAATTACTTATGAAATTAAAAACCACTTTTCTTCTGAAAACGAACATTTAAAATACAAAGATAAGCTGTGGGAAAGAAGAATAGGAAGCTATTGTTTATTTGGTACAGTTTCAGTTCTGCAACTGAAGAGTTCACAAACAGATGGTAGTGAAGGGAGTACAACACAGAATATACTTAACACCACTGAACTGTACATTTAAAGTTATAATGGTAAATTTTGTTATGTATATATATATATTTTTTAAATTTTTTTTTCCAACGTTTATTTATTTTTGGGACAGAGAGAGACAGAGCATGAACGGGGGAGGGGCAGAGAGAGAGGGAGACACAGAATCGGAAACAGGCTCCAGGCTCCGAGCCATCAGCCCAGAGCCTGACGCGGGGCTCGAACTCACGGACCGCGAGATCGTGACCTGGCTGAAGTCGTGACCTGGCTGAAGTCGGATGCTTAACCGACTGCGCCACCCAGGCGCCCCTTGTTATGTATATTTTAACACAATTTTAAAAAAGAAAGCTAAGAAACAGAAAAAAAAAAAAAACCCCAAAATAAACACAACCAGGCAGACTAGGACCAAAAAAGTGTAGAGAACTGTTCCACTTCAAGTAACCATGTGAACAGCCAGTAGCTTTAGGGTGAGGCTGGGGGCACAAAACTATCCGCTAAGTCCGGCTGCTGACAAATAACCAACCATGTAGACACTGAATTTTATATTAACAGGGTACACCAATGGTGATGATTAAAATAAAATCAACAAATTGTGGGAAAAAAAAGATAAAATGCAATACAAATTAGTCTTTGTTAAAAAATATTAAAACAAAGATAAGACAATGAAATAGAATTAAATAGGGCTATCAGCATAGATCTGACCATCTAACCACATATGCCACACAATTTCTAGTGAGACAAAGCTCTGTTTTCCCCCCTTTATTGAACACAAACATAATTAAAAGGGGCTGCAGAAAAAGGAGGTTGTATTTACTATCTGTGTTCTCCATCAGAATATATGATAAATGACAAATCTGTTCTGCTTACCATCTTCTTCCTAACACCTGGAACAAGTCCTAGATATGGCAGATGCTCAAAGAAATTTGCTGAATCAATGATATGATCAGAAATAATGTATTCCATTAGTTCTACTAGAATGCCACATTACCTTCTCCCCCCTCTTAATACCACCATGCTATTAGAATTCTGTAACTTCCTCAACTCTTACAACCTTTGCTTATGCTTAATTTTTAGCAACCTACTTCTATGGCTTCACCCTGAACCTAAAACTATTCCCACTTTAAGTTATTAAATAATAATATAGGTATTTCTGGCCACTCATTCAACAGATATTTATTTATATACCTAACTATACATACATACACAATGTCAGTAAGTAACCACAACCTTTCTCTTCAACTCCTATTATAACTCTTTATCCTCACCTAAACATCTAAGCCCCACTACCTTGCAGTCCCTTACACTGCTGCTCATGGCTTTCAGCTGTTCTCCCAAGGAGAGACAGAGAAGACAGAGATCAGACAGGTATGTAAAATCTTTGAAAAAAGTAGGCCTCACTGCTGTGTGCTGACATAAAAGCAAAGTGAAACCCCAAGTCCAGCTCAAAGGAGTACTCTGAAATTTTCCTGAAGTTGACACAGCCCCTTTCCCCACATTATGAGATCTACAATCCCCTTCCTGTTAGGTACTCTCTCATCACCATAACAACACACATTCCATAAAAAAACAGGGGGGTCATTAAAGAAAGGCAGGAGAGAACTTTTGATGCTGCTTTTCAGGCATCCCATTCAGGTAGTCTATAATCTTTTCTTGATAAATCATTAATTTCATCACTAAAATATCAAGTGTTATTCTGTGCTGCAATGCTCTTCAGGTCTCTAAGTTAGTACAATTTGCCAGTAAATTAAGTTCCTTTTACTCCTATCACCATCTGTTTTCTGTGTCTGAGTTTGCTTTGTGTTTTGAGTTTTATAGGTTTTGTTTCCCCATTTGATATCTTAGTTCAGTTGGCACATATTTCTGCTTCTGCTGAAGCAGGTCAGTCTCTCACAAGCTTCCCTTTCTTGTTAAACTATAAAGCTCATTAAGGTTATGTCTAAAATTATGTTTGTAATTTTGTAGTTCATCAAAAGGCTAAAGGGAAATACATGTTTACAGAGTGTGACTCTAGGTTATAACATTCAGTGCAATTCTTTTTCCTGCCCTATTCTTACCCTTTCCAAGTTTTCTACATAATCATGATCAGAAAAATATATATTTAAGATATACAACTATACTTATGCATTATCACTGAATACATTTTCTATTTTCTATTAGCTTGTTCGTAAAATTAATGTTCCTTTATATTTAAGAATCTAGTGAACAATTTTTCTTTCTGCATATCATTTTAACTAGTTTTAGGTCTCTCATATTGGACAGTATCTTATATAGTTTCATGGTTAATAAAAAATGCTTTTTAAAAAGTAATGATTTCTGAAAATGAGGATTCATTTTCTGACCCAACAATATACATTATGTAACTAAAAATTAAGTGACTATTTTAAGAACTATTTTTGTTCACTACTGGCAAAGGGGGAAAACTGTCTGTAGGAACTCTATGCCTCTCAAGGCAAGGGCATTTTACATTTTTATAATAGCAACCTTCTTTTCAAAACTTAAGGTAAACAGAATAAATGGAGGTTCCCATTACTTTTGAGTAGAATGCTGAAGTATAGAGCAATAAAGTACAAAGATTATAAAATAAACAATAATATAGAAGTCTTGAATAAGAATACAGAGGAAGTACAGTACAATATTAGCAACTTTAACATTAATAGGTTTGGGTTTTGCAAATCTCAAATGAGAAAAACAGAACCAATTATTCCTTAAGTTACTGATACCCTGTCTAATGTTGTTAAAAATGAAGTTAAAATATATGTATGAGTAAATGATGAGTTAATATCTGAAGTGCTTCTAAACTTAATAGGGGCATGCCATTGGTGCAAACATCACAAATTTAAAGGCTGATATATCCTAGGTAAATCATAATTTCTTCGTATGTTTTTCCCGTAAGTACTTTTGTTTAATCTTGATCTTAATCTTGCATAGCTCAGGCAGTTAAGCGTCTGAGACTTTGACTCAGGTCATGATCTCCTGGTTCGTGGGTTCGAACCCTGTGTTGGGCTCTGTGCTTGACAGCTCAGAGCCTGGAGCCTGCTTTGGATTCTGTTGTCTCCCTCTCTGTCTGCCCCTCCCTTGCTTGTGCTCTCTCTCTCTCCCAAAAGTAAATATTAAAAAATTAAAAAAAAAATCTTGATCTTAATCTTAAATTAAGATCTATGTATCTTTGGGACCTTTTACTTTTCTGCCCCAATATGCTCTAAGGTATCTAATATTATTATTTCCTCAGCAAAAGAGCTAAACAATCCCAACACTGGATTTTTATTTCTGTAGTCCTTACTTCCTTGACCTAACTTTTTAGGATGCATAAATTTGCTGAATCCTATTAGTATGTACTTTAATTACATGATAACACAGCAAACATACATTATTGGCCCTCTTTAGATCACTGCCTTTCACCAAAAGATACACATACATATGCAAGGATTAGAGGCAATGAAACCTGTTGCAAAAAAAGAAGATAACTGCATAAAAGTCTAAAAGAAGGCCATAGATGACAAATATTAATGCATTTAAATTAAAAAAAATTATGTTTATTTATATTTATTCATTTATTTGTTTATTTTTATATTTATTTTTGAGACAGCGCGTGTGTGAGTAGGAGAGGGGCAGAAAGAGAGGAAGGCATAGAATAAGCAGGTTCCAGGCTCTGAGCTGTCAGCACAGAGCCCGATGCAGAGCACGAACCCAGGAACCACGAGATCATGACCGGAGTTGAAGCTGGACGTTTAACCAACTGAGCCACCCAGGTGAGGTGCTCCGGGATTCACGCACTTAGCATGTGTGCCATTTGGTTCCTGCTGAGCCACATGCAACCTATACTTATTATAGCTATTTATGTGTCTTAACATTTGGCTCAACTCCCAGGTTCCATATTTGCTAAGAAAATTATGTTTCCTTATGTGTCAAATTTTGGACAATTGCTAAGTGCTTAGCTGTGCCCAGAACCTGGCTCTTAATAACTATTTTCTAACTTTAGAAATCGTGGATGCTAGGAAATGGGGGGTTATTTTGACAGTGATGTCAAAATGCTAGAATCCAGTTTTACATAGTGAGTACTTAGATTATTTCCATAATGATGAGATTATAGATTTTTGTCCTTTGATTAGCCCTGTGTACTTGAAAATGATACATTTCCTAGAGACAGTCTTAATCTTAAATTAAGGTAGATAATAGTAGCCCCACTAGCCTCACATAATCCTTCCAGTAAGATTATTGTTAAGTTTATTCACTTATTTGACAAATATTTATGAAATATCAACCGCATCTGAGTTATTCCTAGAACAAAAGTAGTTAAAAGGAAGCTCCTATCCTGAAGGAATGTAAAATCCCATAAAATCCCACAATTATAATACTGGTGGCATGTAATATATAACTAAGAGGTGGTACAAATAATTTGACCTAGGTCCTTAAGGATGGGTAGATTTTCTATAGGCAGAAATGAGCAAATGAGTAGCATTCCTCAGATAATAGCTTTAACAAAACCATGGAGAAAGGAAAATATCAGGTGAGCATGTGAATATAGGCATACCTTGTTTTATTGTGCTGTGCTTTACTGAGCTTTGCAAATAAATACTGCATTTTTTCAAAACTGGAAGCCTGTGGCAACCATATGGCAAATAAGTCTATTGGTGCCATTCTTCCAACAGCATTTGCTCATTTGGAGTTTCTGTGTCACATTTTGGTAATTCTCACAATATTTCAAACATTTTCTTTTCTTTTCTTTCTTTTATTTATTTATTTAAAAAAAATTTTTTTTTTCCCAACGTTTATTTATTTTTGGAACAGAGAGAGACAGAGCATGAACGGGGGAGGGGCAGAGAGAGAGGGAGACACAGAATCTGAAGCAGGCTCCAGGCTCTTAGCTGTCAGCACAGAGCCCGACACGGGGCTCGAACTCACGGACCACAAGATCGTGACCTGGCTGAAGTCGGATGCTTAACCGACTGCGCCACCCAGGCACCCCTTTTTTCTTTCTTTTAAAGTAGGCTCCACACCTGATGTGGAGCTTGAACTCATGACCCTAAGAACAAGAGTTGCGTGCTCTACTGACAGAGACAGCCAGGCACCTCTTAAGCGTTTTCATTATTATTATATTTGCTAAGGTGATCAGTGATATTACTACTGTATTGTCTGGGGTGCTATGAACTGCACTGCATCCACATAATATGGCAGATTTAACTAATAAATGTTGTTGTGAGTTCTGACTGCTCCATCAAACGGCTGTTCCCCCATCTGCTATCTCCATCTCCTCAGGTCTCCCTATTTCCCAAGACACAACAATATTGAAGTTAGGCCAATTATAACCCTAAAATGGCCTCTAAGTGTTCAAGTGAAAGGAAGAGTCACATGTTTGTCACTTTAAATAAAAAGATAGAAACGATTAAGTTCAGGAAGGAAGTCCTGTTGAAAGCCAACCTAGGCCAAAAGTTAGGCCTCTTGTACTAAACGGTTAGCAAAGTTGTGAATGCAAAGGAAAAGTTCTTGAATGAAATTAAAAGTGCTACTGCAGTGAACACACAAATGGTAAGAAAGCGAACAGCCTTATTGCTGCTATGAAGAAGTTTTAGTGGTCTGAATAAAGGATCAGACTAGCCACGACATTTCCTTTAAGCCAAACTTAATCCAGGGTACAGCCCTCTCTTCAATTCTAAGAAGGCTGAGAGGAATGAGGAAGCTGCAGAAGAAAAGTCTGAAGCTAGGAGAGGTTAGGTCATGTGGTTTAAGTAAAGAAGCCATCTCTATTACACAAAAGTACAAAGGGAAGCAGAAGTGCCATACAGAAGCTGCAAGTCATTCAGAGTATCTAGTTAAAGATAATTAATGAAGGTGGCTAATAAAACAACAGATTTTCAACATAGATGAAACAGCCATCTATTGGAAGAAAATGCCATCTAGGACTTCCACAGCTAGAGAGAAGTTGATGCCTGTCTTTAAGGCTTCAAAGGACAGGCTGACTCTCCTGTTGGGGGCTAATGCAGCTGGTGACTTTAAGTTGAAGCCAATGCTCATTGACCATTCCAAAAATCCTAGGGTTCTTAAGAATTACGCTAAATCTACTGTGCTCTATAAGTGGAACAATAAAGCCTGGATAATAGCACATCTGTTTACAACATGGTTTACTGAATTATTTTAAGTCCACTGTTGAGACCTTACTGCTCAGAAAAAAATTCCTTTTAAAATATTACTGCTCACTGACAATGCACCTTGTCAGCCAAGAGCTCTGAAGGAGATGTACAATGAGATTAATGTCGTTTTCATGTGTGCTAACACAACATCCATTCTGCAGCCCGTGGATCAAGGAGTAATTTTGACTTTCGTGTCTTATTATTTAAGAAATGCTTTTTGTAAGGCTATAGCTGCCATAGATAGTGATTCCTCTAATGGATCTGCGCAAAGTAAATTGAAAACCTTCAGGAAAGGATTCACCATTCTATATGCCATGAAGAATGTTCATGATTAAAAAAAAAAAACAACATTCATGATTCATGGGAAGACGTCAAAATATCAACATTAACAGGAGTTTGGAAGAAGGTGATTTCAACCCTCATGGATGACTTTCAAGGGTTCAAGACATCAGTGGAGAAGTAACTGCAGAGGTGGGAGAAACAGCAAGAGAACCACAACTAGAA